GTAGATCACACTTGCGTGTGGCTCCAACGATAACGTGTACAGCTGCCCAGAGAACCTCTCAATCTCACTCAAAATTTCAGGTGTTTTGGAAACGATGCTGCCACACTTTTGGCTCTTTCTGGCAGACATCAAAGTCTTTGGAGCCTTGGTTCCGCTCGATCGCTTCTTTAATACAAGCTGTATTGAAGTTGCGTAAGTCCCGCCGCATGCATTTAGAGATCTGTCTGTTCGGTTGCCTGTATTCTGTCAAATCTGTTGAAGAATATAACTTCATCTCCCGTCTAACAGCCATGAGATTAAGAGTGTGATCGGAGAGTTTTTGTGTTCTTCTGCGGCGGGTCTTGCAGAACTTTGCTCCAACCGCATGGACAGTTTCCACGCGCTTATCATTCATATCGTCCACTTCATTGCGGTCTTCTAGGCACTGAAAACGCTTTTGTAACTCGAGCTGAAAGGTTTGGGGACTTTGGAACAGAGCACGAGGGGGACGGAGCGTTGATTTCATTAGACGATACCTCTCCAACTTAACGTTTAGGTTCAGTGTGCCTCTCAACATTCGGTGATCGCTACCAGTTTTCACCCTCGCAATCACGGAGATATCACTGAACAGTTGTCGTCTGGTCGTCATAATAAAGTCAATCTCATTTTTTGTCGAACCGTCGGGGCTCGACCAGGCCCACTTCCTGTGGGGCCGCTTTTGGTAGCAAGAAATCATCATAAAGAGTCCCTCTTTCTCCATAAATTCGGCCAGCCGCTGACCCCTTGGGTTCCGTTGCCATATTCCAAATTTCCCTACTTTCAGCTCACCATGCTCTCTTGTGCCTAGTCTTGCATTGTAGTCTCCCATTAACACCGTATAGTGGGTTTTGGAGGAATGCATGGCTCTCGAGATATCCTCATACATTTCCTCCACCTCCTCATCGGGATGTGCCGAGGTTGGTGCGTAAACCTGTATGACCTTCAGCGAATACCGCTGGGGATTCTGAGTATAAGGTACGCAACCCTCGTCGACACACTCTCAATCTTTACAACGTTGTTAACGAGAGACTTGTGAACGATAAATCCGACACCTCCTTGGGACAGATGGTCGCCCTCCCGGTGATAGAGCAAGTTGCCGGATTCGAGGATTACCGTGTCCTCCCCCTCTCTTCGGACCTCGGATAATCCTATAATATGCCAGTGTAACTTGTCTATCAGTTCTTCCAGCTCCAGTATCTTCTCGTCAGTCCTCAGGGTACGTGCGTTGTATGTTGCCAGGTCGAGTCGTCTTAGGTGGCAACCGAACCTCCACCGGAGATTCTTAGCACCCCCTGCACCGCCGTTACCATGGTCGCTACCGTAGCCAGTTAAAAGTTAAATTATAATAGGCAAAAAATTAATAATTAGTTTTTCAACCTAAAAAATTATGGTCCACGATAAATGAGATTACGCAATATAAACCACCAAAAACGAATAATACCGACCTAGTTAATTCTAAGCGTATCCTCAAATCTCAGTATATCATGTAAATAATTACTTTATCAACTTTGGGTCTAATTTAGCAAACTTTATAATAAGTCAGTCTGGACCCGATGGTCACATTTCAAACGTCCTTGTTTGTCCTGCTGGAGACAGACCCTAATGAAGTTAACAGCATGCTCATGAGCCTTAACTCTAGCAGTGCACTTAGTTGGGATGGTATAAGCACTGCATTTTTAAAATATGCCAGAGACTTTATGGTTCCATATATCTGTAAGTTGGAAAATCTTTATTTTAATACAGCACTCTTTCTAAGTGCTCCCAAGCGATCTATAGTAACCCCTGTATACAAGCGTGGAGATAAATCAAACGTCAATAATTATAGGCCAATCTCTGTTTTAACTTCAATTTCAAAAATAATTGAGAAGCTCCTTAATAAAAGGCTGTTAAATTATCTTAATAAATACACTATTTTATCAGAATTTCAATAAGGTTTGCGTAAAGGAATATCAACTCAAAACACAGTTCTAAATTTGATCTCCATTATAGCTAAGAAAGTCGACAAAGGATACAAAAAGCCTTACGGTCATTCTAGACCTTAAAAAGGCCTTTGACACCGTTTCTATATCTATTCTTTTAGACAGATTAGAGAGCATTTGCATCAGGGGGATTGTGCTTTTTCTTTTTAGTAGTTACCTTCGTGACAAAACTCAAGCCGTAAAAATAGATGTCTTCATTAGTGACGAAGGTACCGTTAAAATTGGTGTCCCACAGGGGAGTGTCCTTGGCCCGACTCTCTTTTTAATTTATATCAATGAATTGTGTAACTTACAGGACGTCGGGGGAAGGAGTTTCTCTGGCAAGACTTGGGATTCCGTCTTGCCAGTAAAGACACCAACTGGTTGCAAAGGGCCTTAGCTCGTGTGTCTAAACGACGGAGGGATAATCTTTTAACTTTAAATATCCAAAAAACGAACTACATCTATTTTGCTCCCTATACATCCCAAATCTTGTACCTCGTGGAGTATCTGCTTATAAATAAGGTGAACGAAACTAAATACCTTGGCATCATCGTTGATCAAAGGCATAACTGGCACTCGCAGTTGGAAGCTGTTAAAAATCGGATCAGAAAGTTCTCTGTATCTGGGTATTTAATGCATTAAGGTCAGCAAGGTCTAGCACTCTATTAAATAAAATTTACATAGCCTTAGCACAATCGATATTTTCCTATTGCATGCAAATCTGGGGAGGAGCCACAAAGAAAAACTTTTTAGATCTGCACTAGAAGTGCACATAGGTCTCTTATAATGGTCATGTATTTCAAACCTTATAGATTCTCCACTTACACCCTATATCAGATTAGTAAAATTATCTCAGTTAGAAAGCTTTTTTATGTTCTTAACCTCATTCTAAAATATCGTAAATCCCTACCTATTAACGAATCCCTTCAAAAAAGAGAACAAATAATATTGTGGTGCCTACACTTCTTGTACGTAGTGTCTTTGCTATTAGACAGTACCCATGTCAGTCTGCTTTTATATATAATAATTTAAATAAAATACCTAAATATATCCTGTGCAATTAAATATATGCAAAAAAACTTTAATGCATTGGTTGTATAGACTGACTTATAACGAGGTTGAAAATCTTTTAAATAGAATTGTCTGACATCTATCTCACTAACATCTTATACATTTACAGGTAACAGTCTAACAGTATGCCGTCTTTCATATTTGATCAGTAAAATTTTATTTTGCAAGGCAACTAGTCTTCTTACTTATACTTTCTTCATCCACACACCCCCACATCATACATACAACAACACTTCTACACTCACATTCACACTCTCCTTAATATAAACATACTAATTACAAATTTCCTAGATGTTAAACTTTAAGTAATCTTACTTTTTTGTAATCCTTAAGCGTACCGTAGCGGGTCATTCCCAACACGAGTATCATCTGATTACTCACTGGGAAGTCTCAATATTATGTTGTAAACAAGATTAGCGAAATATTATTTATTTATTTATTATTATTAATTTTATCCGAATAATTAAGAGATTTTATAAACAAAAAGTTTTGATAAAATAAAATAAACGGACTTTAATAATTATCTTAATTTGTTAATTAGATTCCACCTAGGCGAAGCCCGAGCGGGTCTTTTGTTTTGAATGTTATTTTAAAATGAATGTACTTTCTTGCGTATATAATACTTTTCAAATATTCCTATTAACAAAAAAATTCCAATTTACCGAATAATATAACTTTTTAACGACTTAACGTTATTAGCGGGTTTTCGCTATTGGTACTGTGCATGTTGACGGTACGGGCTCGATGAGTCTCCATTTTTAATCCCATTCTGTATCCGTACGGACTGTACCCGCTTCCATAATCTCAAATATTATAAAATGTGGAGGGTTTAAAATGATTTACTAAATTTTATTATACCATATTGTTATATAACTTACAACTTAAGCTGCAGTTATTCCATTATTAATAAAATATATAAAATAAGTTATTTCTTATGGCTAGTAAGCGACTGGATGATAGTAATATAGTACTCGTATATTAAAAAGATGTATTTATGAGGCTATACAACTCGAGGTGCTCACACTATGGTAGAAACTTACATACAGTTCAAATTACGGATAATCAGTTTTCCGTTTTCGTGGCCCATAGACGTCTACATCTATCCTCGTTTGCGAATAAAATACAGATACGTTATCAGCCGTGAGGACTAAAATGGAATGCCTCTTTTCCAGTAAAATCAGTCTCCGGTGCTTTACATTCGCTGGTATTCTGTGAGAGCGTCCCCGGTCGAGCCGACGCATTCGTGCTACAACTATACTATTAATATAGCTGTGGCAAGGCTGTACCACGTATGAGGGCCCTTAAATTATTCTGTCTAAAGAATGAACATTTATTTGTTTTATATGTCTGCTATGCGTAAACGAATACCAGCCAGCCAATTTTTTATTTAAGACTTTATAGTGTGCGCGCCCGCGAAAGTTGCTGAGAGGGAAAGAGTAGTTTTATGTATTTTTTATTTTTATATAGTTTATACCCAGATTTCGTCGATGATGCCTTAAGTCGATACAGGTCGGTATATTATAAAGTAAATATAAGAAACGTTAAAGTAATTACGTGTCAACAAGGTAATATAGCAGTTCAATAATGAGCTACAGCAAATATAAAAATCTGTACACACAAATCTGTATAAAGGAAGGAAGTGCGATGAATCCAGCGGATCAGCCCAAGAACTGAGATAAGCTAAAAAAGTAGGAAATTTTTAATATTTGAAGCTCAATAAAACCCAGTTTTTGTAATTCAAGACTGAATTTGGAATCAATGTGCATTGGTTGTGTAAGGGAACCCACTACACCATAACACAACGCGTTCACTGCTTGTCATATAAAATGTGTCAGGAAAAAAATGATAAAAAGGAGAGCATCATGGAGTGAAAATCTGCAATATAGTATATATAATGATTTGTAATTATTTTCAGTTTTACATTTGCTAGCAGTTTGTCATTGCCTAACTTCAGTACAGGTAAGGACCATTGCAACCGCAACCACAGTTTCCACCGCAGCTTCCGGTGATGGAGACAACACCACCAGCTGGAACTTCACCACCGAATCTAACAGCGCCCAGAATCGGCACCTGACCAGCTACTAGGGTGCTACCACCGACACACATCTCGCCAGCGACTGCTACGTCACCAATACCTGCGCCTCCGTAGGCTGGACCAGCAATGCCCCCTGGGTAGCCAAGGGCACCAGGGCCAGCGAGACCGTATCCAGGACCGATTCCAGGTCCGTAAGCAAATTCATTGGCTAAAGTAGGTCCACATCCCAATCCGTATTCACCAATTAATCCTGGAGCATAACCCAAGCCAAGTCCAGCGCCGAGGCACTGACTGTATACATTCTGAAAATGGAGAAACATATTTACAATACGCCGTAACACTTTTAACACGTTCACAGTCCAATAGACATTTTGTAAATAACCCCCCCAAGTCCAACTTTTTTTTCATTTAAAGTATTAACTTTGGTAAGTACTTGGACGGAATTTGACATATTTTTTATATTTTCAAAATTGCCTGAAAAAAAAGCCAAATATTTTGCGACTCCAATTGGAGTGGTGGACTTGTCATTGTAAAAGTACAAGCCTTCGCATGGAGTTGCATGGAGGCTTGACACAAAATTTGTTTTGGTGCTACTGTAGAGAAAGAGAGGTGAATGGAAAATCTGCCAAAGTGGCGTGCACTGCTGCCTCTAAAGTGACGACTTGAAAACTCGAAATTTCATAACTGTTCCTGCTTAGAAATGTCCTCTTATATTTTGTTTGAATAAAATAAACACTAAAACAACCTGTTCTTCATTTCATAAACCTTTTTTGTTGTTAGATTAATACGTTTTATTGGATCATGAAAGAACAAAAGTGGGTAGTACAACTTTTATCATAATAATTTCTTGTACTTTGGGAAAACAGTGTGCAAATTTTGGTAATGAAATAACGAGCTTTTCCCCCATACATTCCATCCAAAACAAATTGAAATCTTAGCTCATAGGTCCAACGAAGTTACTAGCCATTGAAGTCATAAGAGGAGCACGACTCCCAAAGTAGGCGTGGACTGGTCATAAAAGTCAACTTGCGACTCTTTATGGGATCGTGGACAGTGAACGTGTTAACTGATTGTGACTTTATGAAGTAAAAGTTATTTGAATTATTTTGAATAATTATCGATTTATGGAGTATAGTTTCAAAATTGATTCATGAATATAAATTTCAACCACGTTAATTAAAAGTAGGTTGCTGTCGGTAATTTATCCAAATTATAGAAATAAAATGATTTGAAAGATTATAATAAATCTGCTAGAGTTTTACCTGGATCACGAATACTTGAACGCAGAGCAAGAAGAAAGTGAAAGAAGACATGTTTAAGGTTTTTCCAACTGTACCAAGAGTAAAGTGATTCAAAAATGTAAAACAATGCATTTTATACTGTTTACTCCCTGTAGGAATAGCAATAATTTCGTAATTAAATAATAAACGTAAACGTGTTCCGTTAAAGAATTATATCGATGAGACATTGACCTGTGTTTCACTTGTTGGGGAACGTGACAAATTTTGATTTGGATTTTTCAAACTTATTATCAAATAAATAGTGTGGAAATCCAGTCGCATGGTTACCCAGCAAGATGAGTATGAGCCAAATTCTTTAATGTATATCAAAGACTAAAATAATCCACTATGTTCTCCACAAGATAAAGAATTATTTAACTGGACGAAGAGTTAAACAGACATAAACCCCTCGAAAACTATACAAGCGAAATCTAATAATGAAAGCCTTATTCATATAAAATTGCACGATACTTATATAAAATAATATATTGTAGAGCATAACTCTACTATGACGAAATAATGAAGACTTTAATTGAAATCACATAAAATTGTAAGGAATATTTTTTTATCAAAAACTAGATTTATAAGAATGTGGGAATTTAATATCTAGTTTTAAAAAATTCTACGATTTGTAATAGTTTTTGTATTAAGAGTATGTTCTTTGTATTTGTCACGTATAAGGGAACATGGAATTGCGTGATATTATTTCAAAAACATTTCGATATATGGCAGCATACATAGTTCCAAGTTCTGTATATAAGCCAGTCGACCCAAATTGCACTCACACTTGTTTCCAATTAACACAACAATTATGTGTACCAAAGCTTTCATTCGTTTCTTCGCTCAAGCACTCATGGTTCAGGTAAGAAAAAAAAAATAACTAACTACTAAACGTTTTAATACAAATTAATTTTTCAAGTTATAAATTTCATTGTTTAATGATTTCAATAAATATAGTAACTTTAATTAAAGAATATTACATTAAATTTGACATTTTCACTGTCCGATTTTCAGACACAATAGTAAGACAATATCTATCAACTATACTCGTATGTAGTGCTCGGGACAGCGAGTGGGTTAATTAAATAAAAATAAGAAATTATTGTAAACTTTGGATTTTAAATAAAAATAATAGTTTTACTTTGAGTAGTTATAAGAAATTAATGAAATATAACTTTTCTTTTTAATTAATATTCAGACCATCACTGCCTACTGCTTGGGCAACGGACTGGCCTACGAAGCTTCCTTGATTGATGGTGCTCCCTGTGGCGCCCCTTGGGGAGGCTTAGGCTGGTCTGGTTACGGTGCCGGTTGCGGTCTATCTGCCATTCCAGCTGCTAGCGGCGGTGGCTTCCCTGTCGCCAGCGCGTCTCCCATCCCGCCTGTTGGAGTATCTGTTCTCTCAGAGAACGAGATCGCAGGAATCCTGGCTGTCGGTGGTGAGCTGCCATTCCTAGGCACCGTTGGTCTGGAGGGTGTACTTCCAACTGCTGGTGCTGGTGTTGTCTCTTACGGTTGCGGAAACGGGAACGTGGGTATAATAAGCGAAGATATCGCCGCGTCCACTTGGGGTTATCCGGCCGCCGCTGGGTTCGGTTACGGACCTGGCCTTGCTACCGGATTTGGTTACGGTCCCGGTCTCGGTGGTTGCGGATGCGGTATCTATTAATAACCCTTTCAACTAAAAATCGTACTTGAAATTAAAAAAAAAGACTTTGACTTTGCATTTTCTTTTTATTTATATATAACTAGCTACTAGAATTTATTACGATTGCATTTCATTTGTTTTAATTTTTTTGCGCGGAACCCTAATTCTTTTTCAAAAATTAAATTAGCTTAAGTTACTCCTCCAAACATCAGCTATCTGCCAAAGAAAATTCCGTCAAAATAGGTCCAGCCATTTTGGAGATTAGTGATTCGAAACAAACAGACAGACATACAGAAAAAAATTTAAACATTGTTTTATTTTATAAGTACCACATATACTTACAAATGGTAATTTATTAAAAAGCTGTTATTTTGACATTCTCTCTTCAATTTTATTTATTTGTATAGATAAACTATAAGTGACAGCAACAAACAATAAGATAAGGTATTTTTTACGATCCATCACCCCTAAAAATCAGCTGGATATGAACCTCGGCCGTTGTAGAGATAATTTACATTAATGTTTACAATAGAGTATGACGCCCATTTTCAAACAGTGTTTTATATGAATCCTAGAGTGATAATGAAACACTATAATTTTTATATAATTTTTTTTAAACCGAATATTGACATAAAAATTACTTTAAATCTATACTTTTAAATTTTTGCGTGAAAACGCTAGCCACCATACTGTTCAACTCGTGACGTCTCTGTCCTAGAATTGTGCCGATTTTGCAAAGGAATAAGATACTTTTGAATGTTTAATAATGAGTTATCATTTATATCACTATTGTGTTGTGCCTGATTGCAAAAATACGAGCATAAGAACGCCGGGGAAGTTATGGATTAAAGTGCCAACTGATTTAAATATGAGAAATACTTGGTTAAACTGGCAAGAAGAGACCCGAAGGCATTGTCTACAAAATCTAAACTATACTTCTGTGAAGATCACTTTGATGTAAGTATGACTTATATTTAACTATCGATTAAACAAAACAAAACATTATAACATGATAGGTGTATGAACTATTGCAAGTCAAATTTTGTAATAGATTAGGTTAATCGCTCGTCTGTCCCGTCCTTTGTGGGCCATTTTGATAGCCCTTGCAAGTGCAGTGCAGTGTTTTACTTAATTCCTATTTTCTTCCATTATATGGGAATAAAGACATGGTTTGTACTCAGACCAAATAAAAAAATGACTTTTTAATTCGTCTGAGGGTTTGTACAAAAAAATATAACAAAAAGTTTTTCTCACCTAAGCTTTTATTATAATATCTATAACATTAGTGCTAAAAGCGAAGTAATAAACTCGCTTTTACGAATCCGTCTTCCATGATGCCTTTTTAATATAATTCGGAATAAAAGTCAACAATCGTAATGATAACTTGGAAAATTTCGAAATTAGCTAATTAGTACACAGCACATAACCTAGTTATTTGACCTAGTGACGTCACGACGTCGTTTTGCAGATTTGAGGCACAGGTAAAAAAAAATCTTTAAATTGAAATATAAAATTTATAATGCATTTTTATAAATAGAAATCAATATTTCTCGTTTACTTTTTACAAAATCTATAATAAATATATATTCTTTGATTTTTTTACATGGTATAAAATACCCTATTGACAAGGACATTGACGATCGCAGTTCTAAACGTCACGCACCTTTGCTGCTGCTGCCGGTCGCCTGTCTGGTTATTGTATGTCTGGCGTGAGCCTGTCATCTATAGGAGGCGTTGAGTCTAGATTCTCTAAGGGCACCTACGAACGGCTACTATAATACTATGGTTTATGAGAGATGGGTGGGGAAAGATTTCAAAGTCTAAGTCAGCTCGCTTAGCAGGCAGATCGGGGACCGGCGATCGCAGTCCTGTGTATATTTCACATCTGCTAGGCTGGCCGCGTTCACTTTACTCAATCGTTAAGTTTTATTTCTTAGACACTTGGCCCTATAAAAAAAGAAAATATTTCGATATCTCCATGTAGTTTAAAGTATTTTTTTTTTACTTTCAGCTAATTAAAGTAACATATTAGTTACGTGTTTTAATGTTGATTTCATTCATCTTTAAATAAAACTACTTTTACGGATTTTATCACGTTCAATTTAATTTGTTTCTAACTTCCGACGTTTCAAGTGTTGCACCTTAGACGACGATGCACTAAAATCTCAAATCCATCTTATGCATAAT